GCGGCCTGCGAGGCAACAGCTTGCACCCAGCGCGCTGGCTCGGTCACACGGTCTGGGTGGGAATCCGAGGCGGGCAGGTCACAGACGGTGCAGGCAGTGCAGCCACCTGCTCATCCTCCTCCGCAGGAGAACCCCAGGCTTGTCCCGGAACAGTCTGACCAGGAGTTCGAGCTAGATCAGGCCGCGGCGACGAAGACCCCCCCCCGTAGGGGCCGAGAAAAAAAAAACAGTGAGACATCAACTCCCTCCTCCTCTTATTATGAATCATAGTGTGAGGCTTCTTGGTTGTATCAGGTATAATATAATCATGTGTGTTCGTCGCATTCGTCTTAGTATTAGCGTTCACTCGTAAAAGGAGTCGTGTTGTTCGTAGTGCTATGGATACTATTCGTAGTATCCGTTTTGCTGCTGTTGGCAACTATCCGTATGATACTTAATATTACTAGTAGTCTAGTTGTTGATCTGATTACTCTTGTGAACATTCGCACTCGTCTTAGTATTGTGTTACGCCTTCTCATATCTCTGCGACTCTAACTTTTGATGAATAGAAATAGTAGCCGGATGAGTACTAATATGATCCGTATTAGTAGCTTTCTGATAGCTATTATTAACAATACTAATATTAGTATGATTAGTAGCGTTACGATAGGTTTTGTTACTACTACTATTGCGGATAATAATATTACGACTAGCATCATGTATCATCATCCTCCTCCTCCTGCTCCTGCTCCTCCTCCTACTCCTCCTCCTCCTCCTCCTCCTCCTGCTCCTCCTCCACCTCCTCCTCCTCCTGCTGCTCTGGCCACCCCCTCCCCCGCACACTCCTCCTTATACTCCCTCCCGCCACGGGGTCATGGTCCTCCTCTGGCTCCTCCTCCTCCTCCAGCTGCTCCTGCCCCCCCCGCACCCTCCCCCTTCTCCTCCCTCCCGCCACTGGGTCCTGGTCTTCCTCCAGGCCGAACTCGTCCGCCCAGATGCCGCTGCCCTGGCCTGCGGTGTTCTCATCAGTGCCTCACGCGGGCACCCGAGATCGGAAGTGGGGGTGCGCGGGGAGGTTCCGAGACCTCTGAACTGCTTGACGTTCCCCACCCTCCTGGCCGATCTCCATAGGTAGGTTCGTACGGCGTCGGCGCGCGCAAAGGTTTTCGACACCGCGTCGATCCTTCAACCTTGAATCGATCGCGGCCCCGATCGTGCAAACATGAATTTCGTCGGGTCCAGTGGCGTGACCGTGTCCATTTGTGCTTTCGCGTCGTAGAAATCAACATTGAACGCCTTTGCCGACGTCGCCAGCGCGCCAACGCCGCACGAACCTACACCACTCTCCATCGCCTTCCGCCCCCAGACATCTGTGTCGTTCCTCCCACATTGTCGTATCACCCTCCACCTCAGAATCACCACCGCCTGCATCAACATCATCGACAAAATCATCTCCATCTTCGCCCTCACCATCACCCTCATCATCCACGGATTACAACACTCATCCGTCAACGTTCGTTCCTGACTCTCCTCAACATCCTCCTCCGCATCATCACTGTTCTCTGATCCTCCTCCTGGCGCAGAGTGCCAGCTGCGGCCATCTGTTGGTTCAATGGCGAGGCGAGCAATTGTTGCGACTGAGGACAAGGAGGCTTCTGCGGAACTCGCAGCTGGGGCGGCACCACTGGCAGCGGCAGCAGCGGGAGCAGCCCCACTAGCGCACACGAATAAGCCCGAGCGGAGAAGCATCAGAAGAACAGCCTTGCGAAGTCCATCCAGTCCGCGGTCGCTAGATGCATCGGAGACCTCTTCGGCTGAAAATAGAGGGACAGTCGAAGGTGGATGAGATCCTGAGAGACAAGAGGAAGTCCTCACGCTCCAGTTCCTTCGCCTGGCTGGAAACCAGAACAGCGACGAGAGCAGCAAGAATAGCACCAGTAGTTCGAGCAGCAGCTAGGGTGTCCATGGCAGTTTCGCCTTCCAAAATCCTGACGAAGAAGAATAATCACAAAACCAATGTCAAGCGCGACCAAATCATGTCCTGAAGATGATGCAGAAAGAAGACATCACGGATTGCTCAGATAATGAGGACGACCTGCCTGGCGCCAGCGGCGCTAAACAAAAACAGAGAAGACTATGAAGGCCACAATGAAGCAGCAGAGCCCGCAGAAATCAGATGTTCCAGAGCCCGTGATGTTGTTCACACCGCAGGAGTACGACAGCTGACTGAACCTGCTGAGGCAGCACCCAGCCGTTGGAGATGAGGGCGGTGGCGGCTAGGCTGCAAGAGGCCCGAGGCTGAAGCTCAAGATGACTGGTTAAAGACGAAAGCTTCGCCTGGCACAGGTGCCGTGGTGCCCATGCCAGGAGACGACGCCTCCGAGATCACCGACAGGATGAAGGATTTGGCCAATCAGCTCACATCTGGGGGGCGACCAAAAAGAAGGAGTGCATCCAGCGCCTGACGGACATTCCTGGCCTCACGCAAGCCGTACTGCCATGCTCGGCTGCATCCCCAGTGAACAGAAATTAAGCACGACGAGCGTGATGTGACACGAAATTAAAGCAGCGGTTGCCGTTCCTCGAGAAAAGAAAGCTGGTAGTGACGATGCGAAGGACGGTCCCATGCGACGTTACCGTCGGCGCCTTTGAATATTCTCTGGTGCCTGTGGCTGCCGATCGGCCTGACCGCCGATGTGACGTGGGCTCGGGAGACCCTCACGCCCGTGGATAACGCTCTGCCTCGTGCACGGCGTTGGGTTGCTTCGTGTTGCTGCTGCGCTTCGCTCCCGGGTTGGTGCAACAACAGCAGCAGCAGCAGCAGTCGAACTGACCATCCGCCCTAAGGCTGAATGATGCTGCAGAGTTAAGCATGTACGAAGTGCAGGAGCAATATAACATACCTCACCTGTTGCACTAGGTGTGCTGATCAGCACACTTTCAATGTCCCGCAGCTGCTCTATGATTGCAGCGCGTAGTCAAAATGGGCTCACGGTGCTAGCAGCAGCATTTGCCCTGCTCGGTGCTCCCGTTGTGCTGTGGTGCATCGGCCCAGAAGGAACGGCTTGAATGCTCTCAGCGCGTTTCAGCGGAGCACAATTACCCGCTACGATGTGTGCACTCAGGTCGGCAACCAACAAGAGGGCGCAACTGCCCTGCAGAACACTCGATGTACCATGACCGCTTCAAGGCAGGTCCCGACGAGAAGCATGGCCAGGCGGAGACACCGGGAGAGACAGGTAACTACTGTCTGCTTCTGTACCTCATCTCCTGTCGCACTGTGGGGGAGCAGATAGAGGAGCCGCAGAGCATGAGCAAGAGGAGGGTTAACAAGGACGAGTGGGAGCGACAGGGGGGGAGAGAACGAGGACGAAGACGAGGGACGACGACGATGGAGGAGGAGGAGGAGGAGGAGGAGGAGGCGGACCAGGGTAAACCCAAGAGTCATCAACGATGCTGGAATAAACCCTCCTTCCTCTTCACAGGCCCCTACAACGGTTCATGTCCATTGAGGAAACTGAGCCTCGTTGGAAGACAGCCGTTTGAAGACCCTGAAGCATGCCAAAACATTGTTCTCGGGATTCCAACGCCACGGATCAACCTGACTGTTGCGTTTTGACGATCCTGAACCGTGCCAGAACGCCACTCTTGGGACTTCAACACCGCGAACGAACGTAACTATTGCACCCTCATAATCCTGAATCCATCCAAAACCCAATTTCTGGTAGTTTGACCATGGGATTCCGTGAACCACTTCCAACTTTCATCAACGAATGTGCGCGGCGCTGAGGCGAGAGCCACATTTTGAAAACGGCCCGCCCTCCATCTGTGAAACTGTTGCCAATGTTGACGCTCCAGGGTCATAGATGGTGAGAAAGTCTCTGGCGAAACACCCGGCCCGCCCTAAAAACTGGCCTCAGGGAGAAGTTATGTATAAGTAAAAGGAATGGAGGAGGAGGACGACGACTACGAGGCCGATTAGGAGAAAGGGACCGCCGAGCGCGGCAACGCGTTCTGAGGCCGACGCCGTCGAGCTGGTGCGAGTACGCGAACCTCTGGCTGTACTTGTGGGGTGCCCAGAGGTACCTCCAGAGCAGGGCGAAGCCAGAGGAGGACGGGAGTGGGAGGGAGCCCGGGGAGCTAGGAGGGAGGAGGGGCCTGGAGCAGTGGAGGCCTCTGTCTCGGCTGGAGCAGAGGCGCTGCAGAAGCGCACCCAACGGTATCAAAAGGGCGCTCGGCCTTCCGCGCCCGAGGGTCACGAGCGGGTGCAGCGGGGGACCTTGCGAGGCAGGTACCCCTGAGGCCCAGACTGATCGGCTGGCTGTCTCCCAGCTGACAAAGGTACCTTCCCTTCTTCCTCCTCCCTCCTCCGCCTCCACCGCCTCCACCTCCTCCTCCTCCGCCTCCTCCTCCTCCCTTCGCCGCATCCTTGCGCTCCTCCTCCTCGACCTCCTCCTCCTCCTCCTCCTCCTCCTCCTCCTCCTCCTCCTCCTCCTCCTCCTCCTGCTCCCCCCCACCACCACCACCACCACCACCATCATCATCATCATCATCATCATCATCATCATCAGCATCATCAGCATCATCATCATCATCCACCCATCCGTTTCCCATGCAAATCCTTCGCGTCACACCACCAGGCGTGTCGGTAGAGGGAGAGGGACGATCGCCCGAGACTTCCTCACATCTTGATATCGTGAAGATTGACAATTCCGAAATTTACACTGTTGGAGGGCGGTTGATATTCAATGGGGCGCTCGTCATTGAAAGGCCGCTCCCCGTAGCGAACAGAAACGATTACAGGGATTAGGAGGGGACTTTGGACTGGAAGGTGCATTGCAACGCAGCATCGTTGGTGCATCCTGGGTTTCCTATAGTTCTCCTCCTCATCATCCAATACGGAGGGCAAACCAGGCGCCCAGAAACGAGCGGCAAGGCGCAAGGCGCACATCATCGCCGCAAGGACGAACAGGAAAAGCGCGTGTGTGATCCCGTCGGTCAGGAGCCACTGGTACTTCCACCTCCACTCCGGCCCCCAAGTGGGTGATGGATTGACTAGGGGATCGACTACAGAATTGATGTACCCCAAATGTTTTCTCTTACCGAATCCACGATTCGTTCGCGGATTCGCACGGGAAAATCAACTTCGGAGTATATCAACACTGGAGTCCATCCCTTGCTCGGCGAGCGAGGAGGGAGGAGGGGGCTAGGGGGAAGAGGATGGTTTGGCATGAATCGTTCCCTGATGAACTCCGGCACACCAAGGTGAGAGCAGCAAAACTACACGCAGTGTGACACCTCGAGCTAGCGGACAGGCCTGACGGAGGAGGAAGAGGATAATGAGGAACGAGGAAGGGGATGGGGTAAGGAAAGGCAAGGCCTGGTAAGGTAAGGGCGGTCGGAGGCCCAAGGCGCCAACTGCTCGCTCTAAGTGGAGCTTGCGTCTCAAAGGGGGCGCAAGGCCATTATTCACAATCGCGGGCCTGCTTGCCCGAGGCAACTGGCTCCCTTTGGAGCGAGCCGCGAAACCTCGATGAAGGACCCCTCCGGCGTTCGGCGTGGCCCAGCAACGGCGACGAAGGGTGAACGAGAGGCGCGGGGAAAAGGACGGACGAGGCAGGAAAGCTTCGGGCCAACTGGGACCAGGGCGAGGGCAAGTAGCACCAGCTGCGGAAGGGAGGGGAAGGAGAGGCAATCAAGAAGCGCGAAGTCAGGCCACGATCAGGGGAACCTACCCGGACAAGAACGGGAAGCGCCGCTTCTCTGAGCTTGCGTTCGCACGCGCGCATGGACTCGCACCCAGAAAAACTGTGCGCAAGTGGGGTGCAGTTGCATAGACTCATTAGATGCCCTGGTGGTTGCTGCTTCTAGCTTTGTCCACAAGGCTTGTCAGATACCGTATGTTTGAGCACGCCAAGAGCTTAATGGTTGCTTGTGGTTGCTGTGGTTACTCTGGTGCGAGCGGGCGTGTATGTACGCGTGCCTGTGTATGTGCCTGTGTGAGCGGCTGTGTGCGTGTGTGCGCGCGTGTGCAGGGTTGTGTAATGGGAGCGACGGGAGGGGGGGATGTAAGGCGTGCGTGCGGGATGTGTTATGGGGGCGACGGGCGGGGGGGATGTACGGCGTGCGTGCGGGATGTGTTATGGGGGCGACGGGCGGGGGGGGGTGTGCGGCGTGCGTGCGGGATGTGTAATGAGGGCAATGGGTGGGCGGGTTGTACGGCGTGCGTGCGGGATGTGTTATGGCGGCGACAGGCGGGGGGGGATGTGCGGCGTGCGTGCGTGATGAAAAAACAAGAAAAAAGAATTGAGGAGGAGGAGGAAGAGGAGGGGGAGGAGGAGGAGGAGGAGGAGGAGGAGGCGGAGGAGGAGGGGGGGAGGAGGAGACGGAGACCTCAGAGACCTCAGAGACCTCAGAGACCTCAGAGACGGAAGAGACCTCAGAGACGGAAGAGACCTCAGACACGGAAGAGACCTCAGAGACGGAGAAGACGAGACCTCAGAGAAGGAGACCTCAGAGACGGAGGAGACCTCAGAGACCTCAGAAACCTCAGAGACGGAGGAGACTCCATAGACGGAGGAGACCTCAGAGACGGAAGAGACCTCAGAGACCTGAGAGACGGAGATGACCTCAAAGACGCAGGAACCTCAGAGACGGAGGAGACGGAGGAGACCTCAGAGAAGGAGGAGGGGGAGAAGGAAGGGCAGGAGCAGGAGAAGGAGGAGGAGGAGGAGGAGGAGACGGTGACGGAGGAGATGGAGGAGACCTCAGAGACGGAAGAGACCTCAGAGACGGAGGAGGAGGAGGAGGACGAGGAGGAGGGGAACGAGGGGGAAGAGGAGAAGGAGGAGGATGACGGAGGAGACGGAGGAGACCTCAGAGACGGAAGAGACCTCAGAGACGGAGGAGACGGAGTAGAGACGGAGACCTCAGAGACGGAGTAGACCTCAGAGACGGAGGAGACCTCAAAGACGGAGGAGTCAGCACCTCGAGCGCAGCGAATGCCGTTTTCCGAGGATATCTCGAGCGAGAGCCTCATGTTTGACAAAGAACGTCTTAACCATACGGCTTCAACATCTCAATGTTCCGAGGATGTTTCGAGCGAAACGGCAATTTCCAACGATTCGCTCAATTGCAGGAGCGAACTCAGTAGCTCATGGTTCGAGGGTGTCTCGAGCGAGAGCCTCATGTTGAACAAAAGACGTCTTAACCACACGGCTTCAACATCTCAATGTTTCGAGGATGTCTCGAGCGAAACGGCCATTGTGAGGGGAACCTACCCAGAAAAGAACGGGAAGCGCCGCTTCTCTGAGCTTGCGTTCGCACGCGCGCATGGACTCGCACCAAGAAAAACTGTGCGCAAGTGGGGTGCAGTTGCATAGACTCCCTAGATGCCTTGGTGGTTGCTGCTTCTAGCTTGGGTTTTGTGATTGCTGTGGTTGCTTTGGTCAACTGTAGTGCGTGGCCTGTGTCGGAGGTGAAAGGGTGAGATCGAAGTGGAACGGAAAGCCCCCCTACCGGGAAATCGGTTTCGGTTTCGTGTTCGTGCGTGCCGTGCGTGCGTGCGACGCGAAGCTGCGTGGGCGGGCGAGAAGAAAGTCTCCTCCGGCTGAGGCGCGGCCGGACCAAATGATTCCCTTCCCGGGGCCGGTGGCCCGCCGTGTCCCGCCGGTGTCCCGCCGGTGCCCCGTCGGTGTCCTGATGATGATGATGATGATGATGATGATGATGATGATGATGGTGATGATGATGATGATGTCGATGATGTTGATGATAATCATGATGATGATGTTGACGATGTTGATGATGATGATGGTGATGGTGGTGATGATGATGGTGTCCCGATGATGATTATGATGTCCACATGATGATGATGATGATGATGATCCTGATGATTTTGATGGTGATGGATGATGATGATGAGATGTTGGTGTTGATGTAGAAAATGATGATGATGATGATGATGGTGCCCTAATGATGAAGATAATGATGACCATGATGACGATATGAGGTTGATGATGATGCTGTTGAAGATGATGGTGATGATGATGGTGTCCCGATGATGACGATTATGGTGATGATGATGATGGCGATGGTGATGTCCCGATGATGATGATGATGATGCTGATGACGAGGATGATGATGTTGATGAGGATGATGTTGATGATGGTGGCCCGATGATGGTGATGATGCTGATGCTGATGTTGATGGTGATGATGGTGTCCCAATGACGATGATGGTAATGCTGATGATGGTGACGATGATGGCGTCCCGATCGTGCTGATGCTGATGATGGTTATGATGTTGCTGATGATGATGGTGCCCCGATGATGATGATGCTTGTGATGTTGTTCATGATGGTGATGAGATGGTGATGATGATGGCGTTCCGATGATGGTGATGAAGGTGTCCCGATGATGGTGATATTGATGATGATGATGGTGTTGATGATGATGGTGACGATGATTGTGCCCCAACGATGATGATGGTGATGATGATGACGAGGTGATGAGGATGATGATGGTGGGCCGATGATGCTGATGATGATGATGATGCCGAGGAGGGTCGCCGTGGCCATAGCGTTCCTTTTTTAGAAAAGCTGACGGTGGCGACGGCAAGAAGCGATGCATCAAAACCACGAGTGGCGACAGACACTGCAGGCAGCACAGACGTCGAATAGCGAAATTAAACCCTCAAGCGAGGGCGGGCGGGCTTGGGAGCTTGAGCACAAACATTTACAGATGTGCGGCCACTGAAACCCTGTCCCAGCACACTCCACACTAAAGTTGTTACCATGCCGAGGGGGGTCGCCGTGGCCATAGCGTTCCTTTTTAGAAAAGCTGACGGTGGCGATGGCAAGAAGCGATGCATCAAGACCACGAGTGGCGACAGACACTGCAGACAGCACAGACGTACACTGTGTAACACGACATCATGGCCGAACCCCGCAGAGACCATACATCCTGGACCGAGACAGATCATCTATAGCCTCAACGAGGGAGTCGGCCACCAGCTCTGCAGCTCGGACGGGGAAGCGCGCAGCTTTGTAGCGGCAAGCCACGCCTCTGGCCGCGCGGCCGTCGAATTGCAAATGAGGTCGCCCCGATCCCGAGCACACTTTGCCACGCAGACTGCAACAAGCGTTGAGGCGCTGGAGCTGAGGACAGTACCGGCAGAACACTCGCGTGGCCGAGCGGGCTGCCGCTCCGAATTGGCAGAGGCCCAGGTCAACTTTGAGAATCGACGGGAGACTGACTAGAGTCCGAAACTCAGGCAACGCAAAAATGAAACTGGCACGCGGGTGCTCAAGACAGACAGGTACAGACAAGTCGATACAGGCACGAATGACTCTGAGGGCTGCGCGCATCTCGACATTGTCAGTTACAGACGTCGGGAGCTGCGACCGCAGGCTAGCAGGCGCGGCCCGACCCCAAGGGTCAGACACTGCGCGGACAGGCGGGGGCCCAGACTCGATCCAAGACCCGCGCGGCAAAGAGAACCAGCATGCACAGACCGCCGACGAACGAATCCACCCAAGGAGTCGATCGACGACGCCCTGCTCGCACAGCGCAAGGCCCACGTTTCGACCTGCACCAAGCGAGGGACAACCCCAACCGCGACGGCGCAGCGCTTTGCAAATGGGGCCCCGCGGAGCCCAACCACTGGCAAAACGAGCCGACGGCGACGGGGCGCCCACGCAAAGGCACGTCGGAAGGCAGCACGCATGCGCGCACCTACTTTCTGGACAGAACGGGCGCCCGCCCCACGACCCGCGGCAGGGCGGGCGCCGGCTGGAGCGGCACTGGCAGCGGGAAGCTGTCCTTCACGAACTTGATCTCGATCAGCTCCGAGAGCCTCGCGAACACCTGCACGCCGAACACGGCGATCTGAGGCGGGAGGTCCCTGATCCGCTGCTGCATGCGAGCCCTCTTCCCGTACCTCCTCAAGAATTTGCATGATATCCACCCCCCCCTCTCCTCGACCTCCACTATCGTACGAGTGCCCGAGAGCAAGACGTGCG